CTGAAACAGAAGTTAGGAAACAGCCACTGAATGCATCTGACCTTCAAAATGATTTTCTTAGACAGTGCTTTATAGTCACAGAGAAAAAACACCTTTCCTGGCTCTATTTCTACAACTAAAAGTATATAAAGGGCATTCACACACGAAGCGATTTATAATGTCATCGAACTATAGGGAACATTCTGGGCTCTGGTTGCCTAGGTAACTCTGTAATGCACTTAACACCCTGCTATATGTTAATCCAGGGGTGGGCAATCTCAGTCCACGAGGGCCGGTGTCCCTGCAGGTTTTAGATCTCACCTTGGGTCAACACACCTGAATCACATGATTAGTTCGTTACCAGGCCTCTGGAGAACTTCAGGACATGTTGAGGAGCTAATTTAGCCATTTAAATCAGCTGTGTTGGTTTGAGGACACATCTAAAACCTGCAGGGACACCGGCCCTCGTGGACTTTGCCCACCCCTGTGTTAATCAGTGGTATCCTTAGAAGTTGTGAAACTTTAAACTTTAGGACCTGCCCACTTCATACTGCCAGTGACTCAGGTCCCCAAGGATCGCTTGTGTAAAATCACTTGAAGAGGATGACCTTGAACTCCCAAATCAAATGAACAAGCTTGTTGCGCAGTTCTTGCTGCTCTTACAAACCTCACCGTGCTGCAGAAATTTGTTGTGTATTTCTAGGTAGAAATGAATTAACAGTTATCATTTCAGCATCAGGCTACAAGTGCACAGACAGCTGCTCACAGTGAAAATCAGAAAAGACTGAAACCAAGAGAACGCTGATGAGCAAGTAGCTCAAGAATGTATACATATTTAGAGAGGGGACCGAAGGCTTTTGTAAATAAGAGGATTCAGCTTTCAGCTTTCAAAGTAAAACACATTTAGAGTTTGTAAAGTTTAAAATCTATGTAATTTCAAGTTAAACCTACAACACTATAAAGTGATTTATTGTGCTGTAGATTACTGTGTGAAATCACAGTTTTATAAACAGAACTATATGACAGACTGAGCTGATCAGTGGGCAGACTCACCAGTGCAGCCGCTCACACCGAAGCCGTAGGTCCCCGGGGCACACTGGTCACAGCGCCTGCCAATCACGTTGGGTTTACAACGGCACTGACCTCCCACTACGTCACACTCACCGCTGAGGGAGCCCTGAGGGTCACACTCACAGGCTGGATACAGCAGATATGAATAAATGGAATACACAAAAGGAAATGTTTATCATTTAAAACAGTGCTGAGTTTGAATGGATTTGTCATCCTCGTGTTTTTGTGTCTACTTACGCAGGGCACCGTCGTGAATAATGGAAGAAATACTGCAGATGAGTTTAGAGCACATCTCAGCCAGTGCAGGCATCGGAGTGATCATAAAGGAATCAAGACACATGTAGCGGATCATCTCCTCCTGACGCTGCTCTGACTCTGGTGTGTTACCTTGAAACCCAGGAAGCTCCATGTATTTAGGGATCAATACCAGCTATTGGGCGAAAAAAGAAAGCTTTGAGACAGCTACATCAATTATTGTAAACAGGAATTATAATAAAATGATCTTAAGTTCTTAAATCAAAATGTATATTATTATTATTATTATTATATGTACAATCATTTCGCAACTTCTGTTACTGCAATTGGATTGTCCCACCACTAGGGGGAAATGTGATGGTGCAAAACACCAAGCAACACCCCCACAGGCCACCCACTGCTGCAGCTCAATTGGACCATGTTCAGACTTAACAGCCATACTAGTAAAAGCACAGCCAAAGCCGACTAAGCCATGGTGATGTCAACTTCCAGCACTTCTGAATGAGAAGGGCATAATGAAAGGGGAAGGCTTCCAGTCTTAGCTCACCGAGTCAATAAGAATGAAGGCAGTGAGATGTCTGTGTGTGGCGCCATGACGCTGGAACCTGATTGTAACCACGTAACGATTGCTGGGCTCAAAACAAAATGGCCTGGGCATCTGGATGTATCTGTAAGAACACATTGAACATGAAAGAACATGTAATGATAGATATATTTTATACTTTATCTTACTTTTACTTTCCACTCTCATTTCATGTGTGGAGAGGCAACATTAACAAAGCCTGTGAAGTGACAAATCGTGGTTGTCATTCACTTGAAAAAAGGTCCAGCTATGTCGGCATATTTGTGCCTTGAAGTTATTATGACAGCATATGAAGTTTTAGAGTCAAATCTACTAAGTAGGACAAATTAGCATTGGGTCACAATCACAATAAATGCACTGATAGGAGTAGAAAGTTCTGGTGACTAACACTAACAATGTGTTAATTTCTAAGCAAAGACTTTTAAAAGCAGAAAATTAGAAAACAATGTAAGAAATTTGCAGATTTGATGAGAGAGCATGAGGGAGACATAGATGCTAATCAAAATAACACAGTGTGAGCCTTGGTTTTATAAATGTGGTTCTCTCTGAAAACAGCATGGCAAATGAGATCAATAACAGTGCTGTGCAGTTAAAACAGGTTTTAGTGACTAGAAAACACCCAATATGAAAGTAAACTACAGAACAGTACCATGCCAGTTTGCTTCCTGTTGTTTTTTAGAACAAGCATTTTATACCAGGGTTGACTTGAGCTACCCATATTTGCTGTAACTCCTGCGTCTGTGTTTTGGTCTCACTTTACTAATTGGTTTTAGCTGACAGATCCACTGCGGGAGAGAAAGGAAGCTGTGATATGCTCCGGTTGAAGTGCCAGATCCGGGCAGGGTCTTAGTTCCAGATGAGTTAAAACTCTGAAATGCTTTTCAGCAGAAAAGCTAAACCGTTTCAGTTTTGAGCATTTTAACTTATACCCTGTTTATGTTTCCTCTGTTTCTCTATACAAATAAATGAAGAATTACGACTTTGACTCTGCAGTCATCAGTCTAAAGTGCTGACCTTCCTCCAAAGGAATATAAATTTTATCCCACAGAAAATGATCCCTGCGAGTGTCACCCACTACAGAGATGTTATGAAATGGTGATAAAGTCTATAAAGATTATAAAAATATACCAGTAAAATGCAACATAGCTGTAAAAACGACAGAAAATTGTTAATCTGGTGATTTAGCGCACAGTGTTGGAAAATAAACAATTTTAATTGCGGTTAATTATTTTATCAATGAGTGGGCGCTCGGTGCTGCTGTTTATTTCTAAAGTGATGGTTGCTTATTAGAGTCCTGAAACTTACTGTCCCAAAAACTGCAGGAGGGTAAAGTGCAGGGGTCAGCAACCTTTAACGTCCAAAGAGCCATTTGGACCTGGTTTCCACGCAAAAGAAAACACTGGGAGCCGCAAATACTTTTTGACATCTAAAATGAAGATAACACTGTATATATAGTTTTTTACTTTTATGCTTTGTGTGAACAACTAAGGTGTGTTGCTTATGAAATCCATGAAGTGCTACAGAGGAAATTACATTTTATTTATGTAATTAACATATTTTGAACTCTTAAAGAAATATAACAAAAGGAAAGACACCCAGCTGAACTAAAATGATCCATGTAGCAAACAAAAACTGCTGTGAGCCACCACCCTTATATCACCTTTGGGCTTTTGGAGCCTCGACCTGTCTTTTAAAAAATAATTGGAAAAAAAGCACTATGCTGCTAAAAAAAGAAAAATAGATATTTGCAAAATTCTACCTAAATATGTATTTTACCAGTTTAAGGTGTGTGGCGGGGCGTGGTCTGCTGCGCCGCTGCAGGGGAGGCGGACGCACCTGAGCGGCACCCGCAATCATGCCTCGCTGCCTTAACGTCTGTGCTATCTGTGCTGTTGTGTTGGTATGTGTCGGGCTGTGAGCTGAAAAGCTACAGCCGGCTGTATGCGTACAGCAACCGTGTGTGAAAAGTGGTCAATAAAGAGATGCTGAAAAGCGTGTTCATGGAAGCATCGTCGGGTCTGCCGTGATATGTTTACAATGGCACTTCTGCTCCTGAACCTCTGCGCACAGTGAAGTGACTGTAAGCTGTCATCTGTGAGGCGTGAGCGGTGTTTGGTTTTAACATAGTTCACGGTGGAGAACAGCTGCTGACATAATGTGGATCCGAAGATCCATAATTGGCCTACCTGGGGTTGAAAGTCTCGATAAATGCACGGCGTTTCGGCGGGTATACCGGCTTCCGCGAGTGTGACGCTTATTTTGAGCGATGAAAAAATAATAGAATATTATTTTATTTTTATATTTCAATATCACAATAATCTTCCAATTTAGAACTACAAGTTAAAAAAGAACTAACATAAATAAAATCCACTTCAGCTAAATACTTGTTTATTACTAATTTATTTTCCCAAACCACGCGGAGCCGCACTATAAGGACTAAAGAGCCGCAGGTTGCCGACCCCTGGTATAGTGGAATAAGCCTGACTGAGAGCAAGTTACAGTTACAACAATGTAATGATGCAATTTTTCCTGAAGAAATCCTGCAAACATACTGGCTGTGATGGCTCCCTCTCTGGATTACATGCAAACCCCATGCACACTCGCATGCATTCATTCAGGTCCTGTTACCTGTTGTGGTGTGGCAAAGTGACAGTGTAGAGCTGTTCAGTAGGTAGGAGGTTTCCACACCGGAGACTGGAGGGCAATTCTACAGATGTAATACTAACAACAGCCTCCCAGTTCTCTGTAGACTAAACACAAAAGGAAAAAGGCTTTTACTTCTATTTTTGCTTTTTTTTAAAACAAAAAACATCATATTCTCTCCATACTCACACACCTCAGGTTCATAGCGGATCATGATGTCATACTCCATGGCATAGGGTATGTTATCAATGGTGAAAACCAGACCAGCGCCATCTTTAACACGGGAAAAACCAGGTCCTGTCCATGTCACCATATGGCTGAGAGTGTGCTCTCTATGAACGGTCCTCACATCAGGCTGAATAACAAAGACACATCACCAAAGCATGGCTTTCTTTTTGACCTATTATCACTTCTACTTTATGCAATACTTGTGCTATATTGCATAAAGTCAATCCACCAGCTGCTGCCAATCAACTACCATCTTCAGCAGGGCTACTTAATGGTGTGGCTGAGCGACAGACAGCGCTGGAGTATTGCACTAAGCCTGGTAGTGTTTTCGAGTCGCTAACGTTATTGAAGTGCTGTCTGATCTTCGTACTCATTCTGCTGTCGTGTGTGTGTGTTCACCCAGGGATTGACGGAGGATTTACGGACACTAAGGAAGCACTTGGAGGAGAGACGGGCACTCACTACCACGCACGGGCTTACACGGAAGGAGGGACGCACTATCACCATTGTTGCACATTTGAACTGTTGTCACCTTGCTGCACTGTAAATAAATGCACTGTCATTATTTCCGAGCTCCGCGCCTGAGTCCACTCTTTAACAACCGTGACACAGTAATTCTTTCTTTAACTCTGTTTTGACTTCCAGTCTACCATCTGTTAATACAAGACCTGATATATTAAAATTAAATAATAAAGAATACTTTTTCATTATGTTTTTTGACTCTTTTGGGATTCCTGTTCTTTAATCTGTCCCAGTGTTGGTGGTCTTGTACCCACTACCCCCACACTCTTTTTTCAGGTTGACTAGTTTGTGCTGATATCATTGATTTGACAGTTAAGCTTTTAATTAGGCAAACTGACGTCCACTTGGAAAGTGGTCTACGTGCACATGACCACAAACGCCTAAAACTGTAGACGTTAGTAATGCTCTGCTATTTAACTCTCCTGATACAACTGCAGAGTCTTATTGGAGGCTGTAGTCTAATAATGACTGTTTCTTTTATTTTTCCATGCAATTTATATCAGTAAGCATAGGCTAAAAAACAGAAACACCTCAGTATAAAGAGGCATAGTACAGTGGTGAGCTGTTCCTATTAGGGGTCTTCACAAACCAAAAATTAAATGAATAAGTCAATAAAAGAAATAAAAATCATACTGTTTGTTGAAGCTGCCGAATACGTCTCAGTGCTGCCTGATGTTGCTGCGACTTGGCAATGTTACGGTGCCGCCGGTGCCTCCTGAGCTGGTTGCTGAGGTGCTGAACACAGTCATTAGTTGCTTGTTGGCGAACTTGGCCCTGGAGGGGAGAGAAGAGGAGAGTTTTGACTTTTAACTGACTGTTTAAGGAAAATAACATTTTTATTTCTAGTTCTCCACACACAAAAACACAAAAAAACACCATCCCATCTTCAACAGTGTCAAATTTATATATGCCACACAAATACAAACAAATTTTCACAAGCAAGTAAATAACAAAAAATGTTTTTTATCAAAAGTTATCAAACTGAGATGAAATGATCTGAGTCTTTCGTGCATAGAACATTTAGCAAAAGATGTCAAAACACCTTCACTTTGGTTTCGTCTCCTGTGCTCAAATTGCTGGGGTGTAACAGAGAGAAACAATGATAAGAAAAATGTGAGATGTTTTTGTGTGTGTGCTGTTTGTTGTACAGCAATAATAAATTGTGACATGTCGGTATCTGTGATCTGGTCTAGCGATGTCATGGATTACTTCAGCTGTGAAGGCCTACACAGAGATCCAGCACTTTGACTACATCTTGCTTATTCTACACTATCCTGCAACTTTAACAACTTAAAGACACCAACCCTTATTTGTTCAAGCAATATCTTCACTTGTTTAGTGTCTCACATTTCTTCTCATAACATTCCTGAGTCACTGAAGTTTTCCCTACATTCCTGCAGCTGTGATGTTGTAAGTGAGGACTGTTGCAGCTTGCCCTGAGGGCTAAAGGAGGAACTATTGTATGCTGCTCATTAACAATGAGGAGGATGGCAGCAGGTGGTGAGTGCAGAAGACAGAAACAGTGAACAACAAATGTACAAATGTGGGTACAAACACGTGGTAAACAACAAAAACAGTGATGTGAAGAAGAATGGAGTCTGATAGGCATGTAAAATTAGTTGCCGATTACAGGAACAGACTTGTCGCAGTGACAAGATCTCCTTGTTGAAACAGGGTGGATGGGGGGACCCTTTTGTAGTCTGGTGATCAGTCTGGTCCTATCCGGTCCATCCGTCTGGGTTGCAGGGGCAGCAGTCTAAGCAGAGACTTTCCTTTCTTCGGCCACTTCTTTCAGCTATTTTACAGGAGGCCGAGGCGTTCCCAAAGCAGCCAAAGGACACCCTTGAGAGTGTCCTGGGTATATGCCAGGGCCTCCTCCTGTTAGGACATGACTGAAATACCTCACCTAGGAGATGCCCAGGAGGCATCCAAGTGAGATGGTCCAAGTATCTCAAATGGCCCTCTCGATGTAGAGTATACATAAACTCCTCCACTTACAGCAGCCACTTGCTCCGAGCCAGGAGTGGAAACTCCACCCTTTTCATCTGAGAACCATCACCTCAGACTTCACATCATAACCGTTTTACACTCAACTACAAACCCAA